CTCCCCTGTGGATGGCATGGAGGGGAGGGACTGGGACGCAGGGGTGAAGACTCCCCTGTGGATGGCATAGAGAGGGACTGGTTTGCAGAGGTGAATTCTCCCCTGTGGATGGCATGGAGGGGCAGGGCTGGGGTGCAGGAGCTAAGCCTCCCACCAGCAGATGGAGGGCAGAGAGGAGGGACAGGGCACAGGGTGGTGCTGCTGGCTGGATCCCCACACAGGTTTGATTTCTGCCTGGCTTCTTGTTAACTGAGAAAAATAACTCGTAGACTTAGGCCTCTGGGATTTGGTTTCCATTTTCTATTTCTTACAAGTGAAGTCAATTCCTAACGCTTCTGAGGAGGCAGCATAAAATTCCCCTATCACCTTTGGAGGTTTCCTTCTGCTGGTGCTTAAGACCTGCTATTTCAGCCTGATGTGTATTGCTCAGGTTTGTGGATTCAATTTTCCCTGTCCTTTATTCTCTTTCAAGTGGAAATTCAGAATCGTTTGATACAGAAGAGTTCTGACACCCACATTGAGTTCCTGATGGCATCTCTCGAGTGCCTGTTTTACATCAGGCTCTACACCTACAATCTCCAATCCACGCACAGGAACTCTGAGGGGGAGATGTCAGAGACACTGTTTTCTGGTCTGGGGGCTGAAATCAAGGAGGCTGGGGTTCCCTGGCCTGCAGGTCATGCTGCTGGTCAGCTGGGAGGCGCCTGTTCCGTTGGCGTAACCCCACGATCTGCCTGACTCTGCACCAGTGTGCACGCCTCCCCGGCCTCTCTGCTGTCAGTAGGAGGTTCAGCAGACAAGCCTGTGTAGATAGGAGTTTGGCGAGATTTCATTACTGTGAGGGAGCATTCTGTATCCACTCCCTGCCCCAGCCTTGCGACTCACTCTGACCCACGGGAAAGACCTCAGCCAGCAGATAACAGCTGCACACAGGTCACAGCTGAGGCATGGAATGTCCCTGTGAAGTCCAGCTGACCTTCCTGCGTTTTAGTCACAGATGTCAAAGAACATGCCCCTCATGACCCACGAGTCCCAAAAGGATGAGACTCTGGACCACCGTGCCCATCCTGAAGCACAGAGCCAGCTCAGCAGAGCCCAGACTGCCATACGAGACTGACCAACCTCAGACAACAGACAGAGATGAAGACAAAGATGAATGAGCATTGTATACTTGCAGATATTCCTATCTTTTTTTTTTGGAGAGAGAGTGTTGCCCTATCCCCTAGGCTGGAGTGCAGTGGCTCAATCTCGGCTCATTGCAACCTCCACCTTCCAGGTTCAAGTGATTCTCATGCCTCGGCCTCCCGATGAGCTGGGATTACAGGTGCCCCCTACCGCGCCTGGCTAATTTTTTGTATTTTCAGTACAGAGTTTTGCCGTGTTGGCCAGGCTGGTCTGGAACTCCTGACCTCAGGTGATCCACCCGCCTCAGCCTCCCAAAGTGCTGGGATTCCTGGTGCGAGCACCACGCCCGGCCCACACTGTCTTTCTTGAGTAGCTTTGTTGTTTGCACGGTTCGATTGTCCAACTGGCAGCTTATGACCATGCTGGTCATTTCTGTACGTTGATTCCAAAAAAAGCTGAAAACATTCACTTTGATAATTGAAATAATTTCTGGTGTGGCAGTGATGGGCGTGACTTATGAATTATTCAGTATAATTCTAAAATAAATCTCCAAGATATTTTTGACAAGAATGCAGGAAAGCCTTTTTGGACATGAGGGGGCGGAGGATGTTTTGGGGTAGGAGGCATCTTTCACTAGAAACAGCTGCACGGCCTACGTGAGAGAAACACATTTCTGGTTTGGATTTGCAATCTTAATACTTTGCAGTAAGAACCCCCTGCACTGGCTGCATGCCTCCCTCTCCCTTTCCCTCCTGCCTTTTTCAGGCTTTTTCCCACTTCTTTGACGCTTCATCCTCTCCCGCCTCTTCAAATCCTAGTTGGAGCCCCACCTGCGCCAGCCGCTCTCCCTGACAGAGTCCTCTCCCAACGCCCTTCACAGCACTGTCTGTACTGCACAATTGATCATCACCAACGCTAAGACAGGGTTACGAAGATCACTCTTTTTCTGAATAGACAGAAGATTGCGTGTGGGGTTGGGGTGGGCTGGCGGGGACTTAGGACCAAGAGGCAGTCATGAATCATGGAGGAAGTGTGTCTGGTTAAGAAGCTACCACAGCAGCCCAAGGGAAACACGAAGGCCTAAGGGAGGCAGGGATGTGGGGTGTGTGCGGGGGTGCGGGGGGCAGATTCAGGCATCCTCGGGCTTCTAGCTGTGTGACTTGCAGAAGGGCACCAGCTGCTCTTTCTTCTCTTTTCGAGACTAAGTCTTGCTGTTTTGCTCAGTATTGCTCAGGCTGGAGAGCAGGGCCACAATTCCAGGCCGCTCAGCCTCTACTTCCCAGGTTCAAGTGATTCTCCTGCCTCAGCCTCCCAAGTAGCTGGGATTGCAGGCACCTGCCAACATGCCCAGGTAAGTTTTGTATTTTTAGTAGAGATAGGGTTTCAACATGTTGGCCAGGCTGGTCTCAAACTCCTGACCTCAAATGATCCACCTGCCTCAGCCTCCAAAGTGCTGGGAGTTCAGGCGTGAGCCACTGTCCCCAGCCGCCAGCTTTAATCAAAATAAGACACGTTTTGTTTCTTCTGAAGTTTCCCATAGCACTGGGTGACATAAGCAGCACTGGACCATGTGGAGTTAGGAGTGATGGACAGACCACCTCCCACGCGGTCAGGCGAACACAAACGTGTGTGGCATATGTGAACACTCCCAGTTCCCTTCCCGTGCACGGGAGGAGGCGGCTTATGCCTCTACCAGCATCCCCACATCCCAGGTGGGAACTGCAGGGTCATCTAAAGTCACACACCGCTCAGGGACAGAGACAGAATTCCAATTCTTTCTGCCCAGAGCCCTGCATCTCCCTCCCTTACAGTGGACACCTGTAAAATTAGGCAATGATAAAAGTCTGCATTTCATTGGAAAGAAAAGACTAATATGTTTCAATAGCATATTTTATTTTAATGTAAGAAAAATGATTAAATTCAAAGATCAGAAATATAAAAGATTATCCAAAGAGTTGCGGATCATCACTGTTTCTTAACGGCACAGGCATGTACTTGAGCTTCCTGTGGCTCCAACGCCTTGTTTTTCCCTTGCACGGTTTAAATAAGTCAGAAGCCTCAGTCAGTGTCTCTGCAGCATCCGCCAACATCATTCTACAAGACACGTCTCGGGGGATTTGCGGCCATGAAGATTTTTTCCAACCAAACCTCTGAGCCAAGATGGCATCCGCACCCGGAGGACCTGCTCCTGACTGTTCTCCAACCGGTTCCTTAAAGGCAGTGGGCGTGCTGACTGAAGGCCCGGCCCAGGCCTGAGGGCAGCGGCTGTGCACGCAGGCCAGTCCGTTGGTCACTGTGTGGGCATTCCACACCTGTCCTTCTCTGTCAGGGCCACTCTGATGAATGTCCCATTGGCAAGTTCTTGTACCGCGATGCATTCAGATAAGCAGAGAGGAATGGCAGGGGCCTGCAGGCGCCTCTCCCTGGCTGCCGACACCCGCCCCTGGGTACCATGTATCCACTGTGCCTTCAGTAAGGAGCTGCTCGTCATTTGTTCAGGTGAAGATTTTACCTTCCGGTAGCCCTGGGGTGGACCAGGCAGGAGGACAAGGAGAACAATGTCCATGTGTAGGAGAAAAACTCCCCAGACGAGCCTGTTAGCCGGCTCGGTCACACTGGGACTGGGTTTACTTTTCGGAAGGATGGGCCCCTTCTAGGCAGCCTCCCACCAGCAGAAAGGACTCTCTAGGACTAATTCAAGCCCCAGGGCCAAAATCAAACAGAAGCTTACAATGGAAAAGCAGAGATCCTTTGAGCCAAAGTATCACACCAAAGACAGTTTGAAAATATTAGTTCCTCCAGGGGAACCACCTGTACTTAACGGACAGCTTTAGTGGTCGCGTGATTCATTGTGTGAGCAAGATCTCTGGAAAGCCAAACAAGACACACCAACGGAAAATCCCAAGAAACCAACCAACCCCTGCACGTTAACTGCCCGAAGGGTCGGCCGTATGTCAGAAACTTCCATGGAAACGAGAAGCTTCCAACTTGATTCCACAATGCTGTAAGCATGGCCGCCTGGAAGCGCCAGCAGGGAGGGGTTGGGGAAGCCATAGGATTGCAAGCAGAGTGCCCAGAGCTCTACAGCTAACGTGGAGGGCGAAGAAGAAATCCAGCCAAAATGCATTCGAATACAACATCTCCACCACACACCGATTTCCAAGGTCAAAAGACGATACATACATTGTATGTGATTAATTTTCTGAAGCCAGCTCTCCATTTTCACAGATTAAAACAGTCTGTTTAAATATCTCATTTCTACAAAGTGAATTTACATTTAAAGTACAAAGTGCAAATACTATGTGTTTCTGTAATTGCTCTTTGGTGAGGGAATTTCCCACATGTCTAGGAACTGCCTTCGGTGTGTAAGCCATTTATCCTTGTTTCCTTGGCTGAAAAGAAAAAAGAGACGTTATATTAAGAGGTGTGCATTACTCATCAGTGAAGACTCAGGCTTGCCCTCTGGAAATGAACTGAACCAGAGAGGGCTGGTCTGGTCTTGTGAGTTGTAAGGATGGGTGAAAAGCAATGAAGGCATTTTGGACACTGGGAGCATCTTCACACTTTCCTTCTTTTACATGTTAGAAATATTGAGGAAAATGTATCATTTCAAAAAGTAACATCTACTGTAAATGTTATAAGTACTAAATATATTAAATGTTTTTCAGAATGTCTTATCACCTTGATTATGCAACAGTAATTTTAATCATATAACTTAAACTTCAAGTTTGATAAAGGCAAATTTGATATAGTTGATTCTTAATTTTCCTTTTTATCTTTTTCGTTCACTATTTTGCCTCTTTAAGAAGAAACCCAACTTAAAAAGTTTGCTTATTATAATGATAAACAACTGTAATTCAGCACCTTGACTTTCAATTAAAAGCAATTTAGAATGAAAAAAAAAGCAATATACAGTTTCCTGGACTTTTTTTTTCAAGAGTGCCAATTCCTACAAATGTTGATCCACTCTTGTTTTATTATTTCAAATAACTATAAAGTTGAGGAGGTTTCTGGGTTGGCTGTTATTCTCCTTGATAAAGATCTGAGGAGGTGAGAAGACAAACCTACCTCCTACCCTAAACCTGAGGTTTAAATCAGTTATACATAAAGACAACCCATCGAAGCATTTTACCCGTCACTAAAGATGGTCAGGGCCGCTGCAGGAGAAGGTGGACTAACATTTTAAGCTATCAGACACAGCTCTGACGGCTCTGGAGCTGCAGTGGAAGCTGAAGAGGTCAGGAACAAGCGCGCCTTTCCATTTCATATGACCGTCATGCACCCTCCTCTGAGCCCTTCTTGTGATATGGGCCATGCATACAGCAAATGCCTTGCTGGCTCTATGTTACCCTTTGAGATGTTTCAAAGAAACATGGTGACCTTCAATGGCCAAGGGCAGCAGGAGCTGCAGCTGGCTTGCCCATTAGGACCTAATCCCAGCATCAGTTTGCAGGAATAGCTACTGCACGAAAGGCATGGAGGTCCGTGTGTCCACTCAGGCCCTATAAAGGGAGGGGAAAGCTGCTTCAGTTTCTCTTTTTGAAAAAAAAAAGGGCTGAAGCAGGAGGCGTGTGCTTTGAACTGAGCTTATGTCAGATGCCAGAGAACCGGGGGCACGTGAGTACAGTGATGCTGTTCTGGAATGAAAACAACCTTCTGGAGGTCTTGGCACTCAGGGAGGGTAATTACTTTCAGAACAGCCCCGTTTTAAAGTGTAAGTGATTTGCGGTGAGATTTAAGAAGTGAAAACCATAAACATTTGCTAAACAAAGGACAGCATATCACACATCTTTCCTCATGAAAGGTTTTAAATTACATCCAAGGTGTGTGCTGGAGCCTCCACTTAAACCCACAACAAATACAGGGGCTTGCCTTAGGAAATAGCAGCTTGACTTCAAACAGGTGCAGACAAAATAAATCACAAATTGACTACTGGTAGGGAAGAAGTGGGATTTTGCCCTGGCTTCGGAGGAGAGAGACGGGAACCCACTCATGTTTATCTTCTGGAAAATGTTCTTGACATCTGATAGTTTGTGGCTCAGGGTGCCAGAGGACACCACGAGTGCATCCTCCAACTGCAAACATAGAGAGAAACAGATGCGTGTTTGTGAACACACAGCAGGAGGCTAGAGTCCCTTTCAGAGACTAATGCTTGTCTTTTTGGGACCCCAGGAAGACACAGAAATCCACCTGTGCACGGAGGATGCCTCCTGTTCCTGAAGCCTCCCTAACAAAATGCAGGAACCAAACTACAAACTCTCAGACAATTGCTAAAATGATTTCAGCCCTGCATGGTGGCTCATGCCTGCAATCCCAGGTGGTTTGCTTGAGCCTTGGAGTTCGAGACTAGCCTGGGCAAAAAGGCAAGACCCCTCCTCTTAAAAATACCTACAAAACAAGGGAATTCAGGAATTTTTTTTAATAATCAAAAGTTTGAATAATAACCTTTTTTCGATCACCAGGTTGGTGATTTCGGACAGGGTTCTGTGAGGCTGCTTTAGTCCCCACAGGGAGATACCATAAGGTTGCCTCCCCTGAATTCTTTCTTTTCTTGGAAGGTACTGACCATTGCAAATCAACACAACTCTGAATTTTTATTGTTTGTGATTTAAAAAGGAAATGGTTAAGAGTAAAATACAAACATACTTACTTGTCTATTAGACGAACTTTCAGCATTACCTCTGGGGGCTAGCAGGAAAAAAAAGATATTATTAAAAATCAAAGACTCATTATTTAATGAAAGGTTCAACATAATTTCAAGAAGGAGTCCACATCACTTTAGAAAGATGTTATCAATTGGCAAACTCATTTACATGAAAACACATGCATAGTCACCCCTCAATATCCAGACGGGGTTGGGTCCAGGACCTCTGCAAACCAAAGTCCTCCTGTTCTCCAGTTTCCCATACAATACGTGTAATATTTCAATATACTCTAAACTCATCCTGCTATAAACTTTAAATCATCTCTAGACTACGTAAAATACCTAATGCAATGCAAATACTAAGTTAACAGTTGCTATACTACGCGGTTTTGTATTTGTATGACGGTTTTGTATTTATATAACAGTTCTATACTACATGGTTTTGTATTTGTATCTTTCTGCTGTCTTTGAGCATTTTTGATGAGAGATTGCTTCAATCCACAGAAGAGCTAACTATATACACACTGAACATAGATTATTAGTGGATTATATACTTTCTAACAATATGGATTCTCTGGTCCAGCCTCAGAAGAATGTTTTACTCTACTCCAAACTCTGAGGTAAGTCCACCCTCTCTGGAAAACTGAATTCTAGATGCTTCTAAACCTCTCCCCAGTGGAGGGGATTCGTGTCCCTGGGTGCCGGGAGCAAAGCCCTCAGCAATGCCCCGACAAGGGTTTGTTGAAGTCTTTGGTTTTATATTAAAATCAGGAGACATCCACATGCTTGGCTGAAAACAGTTTTCCCCTAAACTTCAGCTACGATCGAAGCCTGAGGGAGCCGCACTTTGTCTCCTGGCTTCCCCGCCCGGGGCTTCCAGGGAAGGTCTCCCTCCTGCTCCCAGCTCAGCTTCCACTCTTTCGCCTCCGTGGAAACCACTGGGAAGCGCCCCAGGGGCTCCAGCACCCTCATCTCCGTCCTATCTTCACCCACTCACTGGTGGGCTCTGTTGGCCTCAGGGTTTTAAATACTCTCTATTTCCTGGCAGCTCCTGAGGACACATATTGCTGTCATCTTCAGCACGGACCTTTCTTTCCTCAATCCATATTCTCAGATCCAACTTCATTATCTCCAAGTGGATTTCCATTCAACAGGCAGTTCAAAGGAAACAGGACCCAACTGGACCCATGACCTTCCCTTTAAAACCTACTTTCTGACGTATTCATCTCAGGACACAGTAACCACATTCTTGAGCTGCTCAGAGCAAACTTTTGGAGTCATCGTCACTCCTCTCGGCTCTAACCTTCCCCAAATCATCTGGGAGCAAATCCCTCAGGCCCTACACACAAAGTCTTTCCGGAGTCCAGCACTTCCAGCACGCGCTGCTACGTGGCCAGGATCATCCACCTCTCCCATGTGGACCCGGGCAGACCCATCACCACGCTGCTCCTTCAGCCCTTCCCATCGGCTGGAGGTGGGATGTGCTCTGCCCTGACTGCTCATGTGGTTAGCATCTTCTCCCCACTCCCAGGCACGCTGGGCACTGCAGTCCTCTGTCCTCTGCAGGCTGCTCCACCCAACACACCTTGGTTCTCCTCTGCTCCTCACATCTCCACTCAATGGCTCCTTGTGGGGCCCTCTCCCTGCCCCGAATCTAACGTTCCAGCTCTCTCGACCCTCCCTTACGCCTCCTCCACAAGCACCCCCTATCGTGCTGGGGGGTTTCTTATTTACCTGATGACTCACTTCCACACTTGTAAGCTCTAAAGGGACTGTTATGTTTGCTGTTATGCTGTCAGTGTCTAGAATGGAAAGCACTTGATCAATAGCTTTCAAATGAATCAATAAAGGGAAGCAGGCTTCATTCCATATTTCTTGATTAACTGTTGATTTCTGCCCGCTCAATAAAAAAAAACCAAGTAAAGAGCAAAACTGTTCTATTTTCAAAGTGTCTTCCCTTGCCATAACGCAAATAGAAACACAGTGTGAAAAGGTGAAAGGCAAGCATATTAAGTAAACTGCAAAAACATGAAGCAGCGACTAAATCTGTGATGTTTTCAATAGTTGGTTTTAATGGTCTAAGTGCCAAAATGAGTACTGCAGCTCATCTACTTGTCTTGCCTGAAATGATCACTTTAAGGGAAAAAATTGGCTTTTCAGCCAACAATTCAAATTTAAAGACTATTAGAGTGATACTTTGAATCTATTCTGAGCCAATTTGTTCAACAATTGCTAGCTTTTTGTTGAATTGTTTGCTGATTAACAGAATTCTCCTGGAAGTTGGAAGTAGCTGTAGATTAAAGTTGTAAGAAAAAGTTAATATTCTTTTTTTTGGTGGGGGGTGGAAATGGGGTCCCACTTTACCACCCAGGCTGAAGTGCAATGGCGTAACCTTGGCTCACTGCAACCTCGGCCTCCCAGGCTCAAGCAATCCTCCCACCTCAGCCATCCAAGGAGCTGGGACTACAGGCATGTGCCACCATGCCCAGCTAATTTTTTTGTATTTTTGGTAGAGATGGAGTTTTGCCATGTTGCCCACACGGGTCTTGAACTCCTGAACTCAGGCAATCCACCCGCCTTGGCTTCCCGAAGTGCTGGAATTACAGGCATGAGCCACCATGCCTGGCCAAAAAAGTTAATATTCTTGAGTGTAAGGAAAAAAAAAAAAACCTACCTTACTATATACATTAAAAAAACATAAATTTCATTAATGTCACCTGGCAGAATATTCCACTTAAGATGCGGTTGGGAAAAGCACTACTCAGAATACATGAAAGGCAGGAAATTCATACATTATTTGTTAATTTTAATAGAACAGGACATACATTTTCAAAATAAATGTATAGCAATGCCACGTCAACAAAAATGTGTCTTGGTGACACTATAGGAGAGACAGAGAGAAAGAGGCTGTGCATTTCACCACCATCAAAATAAAGTTCAGGAACCCTTGGGGGAGTTTACGTCACCTGGTATGGAACGATTTGATTGGTTCCAGGTTGGGGGAGTTTACGTCACCCGGTATGGAACGATTTGATTGGTTCCAGGTTGGGGAAGTTTACGTCACCCGGTATGGAACGATTTGATTGGTTCCAGGGTGGGGGAGTTTACATCACCCGGTATGGAATGATTTGATTGGTTCCAGGTGACGGGCAAACATGCCCTGGGCTGACAGCAACATGCCCGGAGGAGTCACAGCCAGCACGACTTTGCGGGGGAAAAAGATAACTTGGTCAAAATGAATATCTCGTAATTTCTGAGTTTTTGTGTAATGGTTATTTTTGGAGAATTACGAGGGCATGTTGTAATCTTTTGTGAATTTTTATTTTTTAGTTCCTCAGAAATATGTCCTTTCTTATCTTTATAAACTCGCAATCATTTTCAATTATTCTCATTTGCATTTTTATAACAGTGAAAATGTATATCAAACTTTTAACTAATATGTCATAGTTTCATTCATTTAAATGCAACTTTTTTGTAATCGCTTAAAATAAGTATGATTAATTTAGAAAGCACATATACTTATGATCCCATTTTGTAGAGAAAAACCAAGGTACATACATATGTACATATAAAAATAGAAATTTTTTATGGAAAGCCGTGATCTAGGTCTGATTATCACTAAGAATAAAGGACCAAATGTTACTTATGTTATTTATTTGATTTCTCATATATCTTAGAATAAAAAGTGCATTGCTCAGCAGTGAGCAAAAATACAGAAAAAAAAAAAATCTAGTAACAGTGTAGACATTTAAAATGGCCTCACTAATCTCCTCCTGAATCTTTAGGTTTTTCTGACTTGTCGCTATTACAAACTATACAGGGTAGAAACAATATAATTGATAATGATTTTTTTTTTTTGAGTCAGAAAAAAAGAAAAATTCTGTAAGGAAAATGAAAGGGCTGCAAAATCAGCTAAATATGTATCCACGTCCACAATGTTCATTTTTGACTATGACCAAATTGCCTCTTTTGCCAAATTGCAGCTTATTTTGCTAGAAGCCATCATACGCTTTCTTCCTGATTACTAAGAGGACAATAAAGCTGAGACATATCAGGTTATTCAGCAGGATCTAAAGAAGATACCTCAAACTTCTGCAACAACTTAACCATTTCACCGAAGACGGCAGCATCGGCAGAGGCCATGCTGCGCTCCACTGTCCATCCATCCTCCTTGCCAGGGGCTACGCACCCCCAGCCCATCCACGTTACTTCCCTGCCCCACGCTGTGGCTCAGGCCACTGGAATGTGGGAGGCTGAAAGGCCCCATGTCTGAGCGTCTGCCTGCCCTGCGGCTGTGCGGGTGGCTCAGCCTCTCCTGCTTCTCTGCCACATCCCTCCAAGACCTGTGCTGACCCGAGCTGGCCCTGCATTCCCATCCAGGGCAGCAAGGTGGCGACCCACAGCCCCTATGCTCTGTGAACCAGAAGGAAACACTTGGGTCCTAAGGCACTGAGATTCCCTAGTCACTTGCATGCATCATGACCCATGGCAGCTCATGACTCATAAATGTCACCTTCATTTCAGTATACCAATATATGCAATGAAACAACACTTCCTCACAGGGCTTTCTCCCAGCGCCACTGAGAGCGCCATGTACCCTTCACCACCAAGGTCCGCTCAGCCTTAGCAGAGAGCAACGTGGACCAGTCCTAGAGGGAACGCACAACATTTCCAAGTCGGGAGACACTGCTCACAACAGCTGTCTTAATGGTGCGGACACTTTGCAAAGAGAGTGTCCAAGGGATTTAGCCTGAGCATGAGGGACAGGTATTATCCCATCAGAATACAGTCTGTGGATCTACCAACCAAACTACAACGTCCACCCTCACCCACCCTGCAGCCTCCACCCTCACCCACCTACAATCTCCACCCTCACCCACCCTGCAGCCTCCACCCTCACCCACCTACAATCTCCACCCTCACCCGCCCTACAGCCTCCATCCTCACCCACCCTACAGCCTCCACCCTCACCCACCCTACAGCCTCCACCCTCACCCACCTACAATCTCCATCCTCACCCACCCTACAGCCTCCACCCTCACCTAGCCCCCAAATCTTCATCCTCACTCAACCAACAATCTCCACACTCACCCAGCCTATAACCTGGGTGCTTTGTTTACAGGCAAGCCTGCATGGGAGACCACATCACGGGCTCAGTGCAATCCCTCGCTCTCTCTGTCTCTTGGCTGACCCTGGGGCTTCCCATGTGGCCCCCACAGCACCGCAGGGCTTCCTCTCCTTGGGATCTGTGAGTAACACACTATCTTTTCAATTGTCTACTGATGCGTTTGCCAAATGACAGCTCAAATTTCCTATCAGTACACTGCGTTTTAAAATAGTAGGACGCATAGATGAATTCAGGACGTTTGCCCTAAGAGGCCTTGATCCAGCCCAGAGAGCCAATGCTAGTGTTTACGCACCACACACGGTACACATACATACAGCATACCATACATACATACACCACACACCACATACACACCACACACACACACCACACACGCCACCCAACACCCTCTCCATACATACATAGTCTGAGCTGTGTCCTGAGGTGGTACAGGATGGGGGAGCTGTGGGTTCCTCCGGAGGGTGGCATAGGAGCAGGGCGGTGTGGGATGGGGGAGCTGTGGGTTCCTCCGGAGGGTGGCACAGGAGCAGGGCGGTGTGGGATGGGGGAGCTGTGGGTTCCTCTGGAGGGTGGCACAGGAGCAGGGCGGTGTGGGATGGGGGAGCTGTGGGTTCCTCTGGAGGGTGGCATAGGAGCAGGGCGGTGTGGGATGGGGGAGCTGTGGGTTCCTC